GGGGGTGATTGGTGACAGTGAGGGGGGGGTGACTAGTGACAGTGAGGGGGGGGGGGGTGACTAGTGACAGTGAGGGGGGGTGGAGGGTGGTGACTAGTGACAGTGAGGGGGGGTGGAGGGTGACTAGTGACAGTGAGGGGGGTGGAGGGTGACTAGTGACAGTGAGGGGGGAGGGGGTGATTAGTACCTACCTGTGTCTCTGCTCCCTCTGCTCTCTCCCAGGCTGCTGCTCCTTCCCCTCGCTGGGCTCTGTGTGAGAGGAGTAAACAGGAAGTGATGTCACTTCCTGGCCCCTCTCCCCATCACACAGAGCACCGCGTGGGACAGGGAGAAGGAGACCTGGCAGAGAGGAGGTGAAGCTGCCAGGTCTCATGGGAGGGTGGGGAGGGGGATTTAGAGAGTGGTAGGCTGTGGGGCCCCGCGCTGCATCAGGGGCCCCACAACCTATCAATTAAAAAATTGTTTGTTTTTTTTTTTTTGGCCGTTCCAGTTGGAGAGATCTCTGATCTCTCCAGCTGGAGCATGGCTGTGCTGCCGGGCCCCTGACTGCCTCGGTCCATGACCGAAGTGCCCGAGTGGTCAGTCCGCCCCTGATCCACACCTCTGGCACCTGAGCTTTCAATCTATTGCTATCCCAGCGTACAAAACATGAGAAACAAATTGTCACAATGTCCCAGCATAAACACAAGAAGAATGCTTAAAAAGCAGAAAAATTAATTTTTTTTGCACACAAACAGCAAATGGAGCCTACTAGCCTGCAGGCCTCAAACAAAGATGGTGACGATGGCTCTGGGGGGGACAGCTCGTAGCAAGATACAGAGGCATCTGATACCGCAGGGAAACTTACCACAAGCTATCTCACCAAGGCACTCGATGCCCTTTCACACAAATTGATCACTTCATGGCAGCATTCCATGGACTCCCTGCGTAGGGATGTGCAAGAGCTCGGCAAACGCACAGGCCAGACAGAGTCCAAAATGGATGAATTCGCCACAGCTCATAATAATTTTGCAAGCCACGTGGAAAGTTTGGAGTCCAAGTTGGAACACACGGAAGCTAAACTAGCAGATCTGGAGGATTGTGCATTTCGCAATAACCACTGCCTCAGGGGGGTGCCTGAAACTATACTCCCGGCGGACCTTCTGCATGCATATGCTCTGGAGATTCCCGCCGACATGCTGCTTGTGGACTGCGTGCACTGGGTCCCACGCCTGAGACACCTACCTGACTCCACACCCAGGAATGTACTGCTCCGAGCCCATTACTTCCATATTAAAGAGCATGTACTCAAAGCCAGCAAGAACAAGGCCAAGCCCCTGGATAACTACTCTACAAGTAGTCTGCAAATCTTCGCAGACTTCTCTGCAACTATGCTTCCCAGGAGAAAGGATTTTGCGCCCATCGTGGAGATCCTGCGGACAGATGGGGATTCTCGACTAAAGTGTTGGTTACCAGGGATGGGAGAAAGATGGCAATACTCTCCCCAGAAGCCGGTGCCAGAAAATTGAGATCATGGGGCCTTGACAACATCCCAAAGGAGCACACAGAGTGTGTCTGTTAGTGAGTGTGTGTGTCTGTTAGTGAGTGTGTCTGTTAGTGAGTGAGTGTGTCTGTTAGTGAGTGTGTGTGTCTGTTAGTGAGTGTGTCTGTTAGTGAGTGTGTCTGTTAGTGAGTGAGTGTGTCTGTTAGTGAGTGTGTCTGTTAGTGAGTGAGTGTGTCTGTTAGTGAGTGTGTCTGTTAGTGAGTGAGTGTGTCTGTTAGTGAGTGTGTCTGTTAGTGAGTGTGTCTAGGGCAGCACAAAACCAGGATACACCACTGCCCACACCTGACCTTCAACCCACCATTGACCAAACACAAAAATTACTCAGGGGCACATGAGCAAAACAGCGTACATGCTACAAAAACTCAAAACTCAAGAATATGCCCACAGTAATAAGGCAGGGAAACTATTAGCATCACGATTATGACAGCAACAAATGTCCTTGAAAATACGTTACCTCTCACGACCGGACGGTTCGAACCTATACAACCCACAACACATAACAGAGGAATTAGTGAAATACACCCTGTTCCAAATTATTATGCAAATTATATTTTTCTCATTTACCTATTTCAATCAAACTTATAACAACATTTTAACTTTTTTAAACATTTTAACAGGTCACATTACATTTTAACATAGGATCCCTTATTTGATAGCAGCTTCACAAGTCTTGCATCCATTGAACTTGTGAGTTTTTGGACAGTTTCTGCTTGAATTTGTTTGCAAGACCTAGCCTGGTACCCGTAGCATACAACACCCAAACACCCACCTAGTCTAGTGTTACCTTTCAGTTAGACCATCCTGCTGGCACCTCAAATCTAGACATGTTAGCCTGATTCTCTTCTGTTAAGCATGTTCCTATATTAACTCATTTATATCTCTCTATAATTAAAAGTGCAGTGTTCTTCTATGTCAAGTAACGCTACTCCTATGTGTATTAATCTTGCACATCTTCATGACACGATGTCATTCTCTTATTGTATGAATCACAATGCACACAAAAATAAAGAATTAAAAAAAAAAAAAGATTTTGTTTGCAAGATGTCAGAATAGCCTCCCAGAGCTGCTGTTTGGATGTAAACTGCCTCCCACCCTCATAGATCTTTTGCTTGAGGATGCTCCGAAGGTTCTCAATAGGATTGAAGTCAGGGGAGGATGGAGGCTGTAACGGAGCTCCTAGTACTCCGACGAGTACCTCCATTGATGGATGCTCCTAGTACTTCCCAAGGGCTTCAAGCACTACTCCAGACACCATAAGCACTGCAGATCGAATCTCTCTTCCTGCAGAGAGCAAAGCTGGAACAAGCTCTTAAAAGACCTTAGTGATTATAGCTAGGGGAGTATACAGAGTATAGCAATCCCCCAGTGTAGATGCAGTCATATCCCCCAATCATGAGACGAGGCTCTATGTTGAGGGTCAAACAGGAACAGCCAGAGCTGTGTTTTTATTGTTCTTATATACACATTCTTACACATTAGTACCACCCACAGGGTTTTGTGGAACATCCAATGAAACACGTAATATACAGTAAAACACTCCCATTCATTCCAGCAAAATCCTCCCATCTGCCTGTGATATAATTACTGAACACAATGGGCTAACATAATTATCACAGACAGGAAAATACACAGTTTTACCCAATATTCATAACTTTAAAAGTATACATCACAGTCACGTAAAACATACATACATTACATTTTCAGAATCAGCATACTCCAAATACAAACATACTCAAAAATCAGACAATTCCCTCCAGGGGTTTAAAAGTTAGGCCAAAGTCCATTTGTGACCAGCTGCAAGCATGGCTTTCGAGCCAAAACCAGTTCCACAGAGTTAGGCTGTGCGAGATAATAGGCTTAACTGGGTGTGGTAAGCCAACTATCTCCAGGTACAGAAAATTTCTCTATTCACAATAACAGCAAAATTACACAAAAATACATAACTCCTATCATACTGAACAGAACCCCCACATTCAACCTATCCTCAGATGGCTTTGATCTGAGTGCTCAATATATCCAAACAGCACTCAGATCCCACAAACACAGTCAAATCGCCATGGGGTTTAAGTTTAGCATGGGCTGATGAGAGGGGGCCATAGTCATGAGGCAGGAGGCTGGCAATCAGGCTTCTCCATAACCCAGGGAAGCAGGGCAGTTTGTCATAAGAGAAAATAGGGACAAAAGGCATTTTGTAACACAGGCTTCTCCATGACCCAGTAGAGAGGTTAGTTTCATCACAGAGGCCACACCATGACTTTCTCTCCTTTTATCCCCATGGCAGCCATTGATGCAGGGGTATTCTTTGCAGCATGAGATGGTCCATTGTCATGCATGAAGATGATTTTATTACGAAAAGCATAGTTCTTCCTTCTGTACCAGGGAAGAAAGTGGTCAGTCAGAAACTCCACATATTTGCAGAGGTCATCTTTACACCTTCGGGGACCCTAAAGGGGCCGACCAGCTCTCTTCCCATGATTCCTGCCCAAAACATGACTCCACCACCGCCTTGCTGACGTCGCAGCCTTGTTGGAACAGGGTGGCTGTCCACCAACCTTCCACTACTCCATCCATCTGGACCATCCAGGGTTGCATGGCACTCATCAGTGAACAGGATTGTTTGAAAATTAGTCTTCATGTATTTTTCTGCCCAATGCAGCCGTTTCTGCTTGTGAGCATTGGTTAGTGGTGGCCGAATAGAAGGTTTATGCACAGTTGCAAGACTCTGGAGGACTCTACACCTTGATGTCCATGGTACTCCAGAGGCACCAGCAGCTTCAAATATCTGTTTGCTGCTATGTAATGGTATTTTAGCAGCTGCTCTCTTGATCCAATGCATGGATCTGGCAGAAATCTTCCTCAATGTGCCTTTATCTGCACAAACCCGCCTGGGCTCTGAATCAGCCACAAATCTCTTAATAGTGTGATGATCACACTTAGGTTTTCGTGAAATATCTAATGTTTTCATACCTCGTCCAAGGCATTGAACTATTTCACTCTTTTCGGCAGCAGAGAGATCCTTTTTCTTCCCCAGATTGCATGAAAATGGTGCTCTACTTAATAATGTGGAACACCCTCCTTCAGTAGTTTTTCCTTAAATG